AGGGACTTTGCGAACTTTGAGGATCGCGGCATGTACCACAATGAACGTGACGATCCTCTGACCGGCCACCTCTTTCGCATTGATGGACCCAAGTGGCGGCCCCTGCGCCACAAGATGTCCCCCACGTTCGCTTCGGGCAAGATGAAGTTCATGTTCCCCACCATATGCGAGGTGGGCGTGGATTTGGCCGAGGTCTGCGGCGAGCTGGCAGCGAATGCCATCTGCGGCATCCTGGAGATCAGTGACCTCATGGGCAGATACACCTCCGACGTGATTGGCCGCTGTGTATTCGGCCTGGAGTGCAACGGATTGCGGAACCCCGAAGCCCAGTTTGCCGTGATGGGTCGACGGGCCTTCACCGAACGACGCCACAACCAGCTGATCGATGGCTTCATCGAGAGCTTCCCCGACCTGGCCCGCCGGCTGCGAATGTGCCAGATCCATCAGGACATCACTGACTTTTACCTGGGTATTGTGAAGGAGACCGTGAAGCTGAGGGAGGAACAGGGAATTGTCAGGAACGATTTCATGAATCTTCTCATCGAAATGAAGCATCGCGGCGAGCTCACCCTGGAGGAGATGGCTGCCCAAGCATTCATCTTCTTTGCGGCCGGCTTCGACACTTCGGCCTCGACCCTGGGATTCGCACTCTTTGAACTGGCACGCCAGCCGCAGCTCCAGGACAAGTTAAGGCAGGAAATCGACGCTGCCCTGCAGCTGCATCAGGGACAATTCACATACGACTCCATGCAAGAGCTGCGCTACATGGAGCTGGTCATAGCAGGTAATGTAGTGAACAGCTGACAGCTGACAACCGTGCAATTTCGATAATGATACCATCCTTGCAGAGACCCTGCGAAAGTATCCCCCATTGCCGCACCTCACGCGCATCTCCAAAAATTTGTATACCGCCAAGGGCAACCGGCACTTCTACATAGAGCCCGGTCAGATGCTTCTAATACCTGTGTACGGCATTCACCACGATCCTGCCATATACCCAGAGCCACACAAATTCATACCAGAGCGATTCATGGGCGATCAGCTGGCCCAGCGACCCACCGCTGCCTGGCTTCCCTTCGGCGATGGACCGCGAAACTGCATCGGAATGCGCTTCGGCAAGATGCAGACCAGCATTGCCCTGGTCAATCTACTCAGACGGTTCCACTTCAGTGTTTGTCCACGAACGGAGTCCAAAATTGAGTTTGTCAAATCGAACTTACTGCTATGCCCGGCGAATGGCATATACTTGAAGGTGCAAGAGATTAGCAAACTCAAATGATAGCGGTACCCATGACAATAGAGATACCAGAATTGTGTTCACAAACGAATTTTAATATAATATGAAACATGCATTTTTTTATCACACATACATATATTTAAGCAAATAAATAATAATCATTTAGGTATGTTTCGGGGCAATATTGTGTACCCTGCCTTCTCGGCGTGAATAATAATCGTGACCCTCAAAAAATTCCCTATCTATTTGGTGGTTATACGAATATTGATTAATTCGTGTTTTGGGTGCAAACACTATCTATACGTTTATCAGTTAAAGTATGTTAAAGGAGTATAACGACGTAACTGGGCGAAAAATTTGGGTATTTTAATACTCTTATTTTATCATATTATTTAAATTCTGAAGAATTAACTACATCATTCTTATACGTAAGAGAGTATGGTAATTTGTTTCGGCTTATTTGTTGGAGCCAAATAAATCAGCTGTTTGTAAAAATATGCGGTTTATTTAGAGTTTTTGAAGTTTTTTTACGTCTACAGATATCCTATCGGTTATTACTCGTATAATGGATTTGATTATTCTTATTCATAGCGACATACATCCTACTGCCTGTGGCATTTTTACTCAGGTGAGAAGTTCATTTCCACTCAAAATCTTAGCGCTTAATGGCTCACTATTTACTTAGGTCATTCGTACGATTAGTAGAAATCGTAACCATGTTCATGTGTGAACAGTAGGACTGTAGACTGCTAGCGGAATTACTCACAAGTCACAGTCTTAAAGCCGCGCGCGGATTCAGACTAGACCTCACAAACAGCGCCAAGTGTAGATAATGCGAGCAGACGGAGTACAATAAAACATGTCGTTTAAAGTTTCGGCCAAGAGATAGCGGCAGCTTTTACCTATAAAACTTAGTGGATACGGCAAGCTGGGACCAGTTCCAAACCGAAAGTATAATGTCGCTGGTGCTAGCGTTGATTGCCATTGTGGTGTCGCTGGTTCTCTTCGCGGCAAGACGACGTCATGGATATTGGCAGCGTCGAGGTATCCCGCACGATGTGCCCCACCCACTTTTCGGGAACATGGGGGACTGGCCCAAGAAGCGGCATATAGCAATTATATTCAGGGATTACTATCGGAAGTACAAGAGTGCGAACTACCCGTTTGCTGGATTCTACTTCTTTTTTACAAGAACCGCTGTGGTTACCGACCTGGATCTGGTAAAGCGAGTGCTCATCAAAGACTTCAATCATTTCGAAAACCGAGGCATATTCTACAATGAGATTGATGACCCCCTCTCGGCAACAGTGTTCAGCATTGAAGGTCAGAAGTGGCGTCATCTGAGGCATAAGCTGACACCCACATTTACGTCTGGCAAAATGAAGCACATGTTCCCTATTGTGGTCAAAGTGGGTGAGGAGATGGACAAAGTCTTCAGCAACAAGGTTGGCGATGGAAAGGTTCTTGAAATCGTTGATCTGGTGGCCCGCTACACGGCTGACGTCATAGGCAATTGCGCCTTTGGTCTAAATTGCAATAGTCAACAGAATCCCAATGCGGATTTTGTCACATTTGGCAAGCGAGCCCTCAGCGAACGTCGCTATAAGGGTCTATTAGATTTCTTTATATTCGGCTTTCCGAAGCTTTCACGTTCCCTGCGCCTCAAATTGAATGTACAGGAAGTTGAGGACTTCTACACAAAGATTGTGAGAGACACCATCGACTATCGCTTGAAGACTAAGGAAAAGCGTAACGACTTCATGGACAGTCTGATTGAAATGTACCAGAAGGAGCAGGAAGGCAACTCTGATGAAGGTCTGACCTTCAACGAGATCCTGGCACAGGCATTCATATTCTTTGTGGCCGGTTTCGAGACAAGCTCCACCACCATGGGCTTTGCGCTCTATGAGCTGGCGCAGAACCCGGACACTCAAGATAAGCTGAGAAATGAAATCAACGATGTTCTGGCAAAGCACAACAATCAGTTCACCTACGAGGGTATCAAAGAAATGAAATATCTGGAGCAGGTGGTAATGGGTGAGTATTCGTGAGGATTACATTTTGTTTCTTTTTCTCTAATATTTTATAATTCCCTTTCAGAAACTCTTCGGAAGTACCCTGCTCTTGCTCATTTAACGCGAAAGACGCGGTTGGATTTTTCACCCGAAGATCCGAAGAATTTCATTGCCAAAGGAACGACAGTTGTCATCCCGGCTCTGGGTATTCACTACGATCCTGATATTTATCCCGAACCCGAGAAATTCAAGCCTGAGCGTTTTACGGAGGAGGCTATCGCCTCCAGACCCGCCTGCGCCTGGCTGCCCTTTGGCGAGGGTCCACGCAACTGCATCGGACTGCGCTTCGGCATAATGCAAACCTGTGTGGGCCTGGCATACCTGATCAAGGGGTACAGGTTCAGTGTCGCTCCGGAGACACAAATACCCATAAAGTTTGTCCTCAAAAGTTTTTTACTGTCTGCCGAAAACGGAATCTATCTTAAGGTCGAAACGGTTTCCAAATGAAAAGTTTAATGAATAAAATAAAGTTTTTATTACTGTTACTGTTTTTTCCCAAATTGCTTTGTGATATACAATTGGTATAAATAGCTGCTTTTCTTATGGAAATTGCTGCTGCGACTGCACCGAAATTATGAAACAGGAGTCTGAATACCAAATTTTGTTGCTGTAGCCTTAATATGCTCTGAGATCTTTGGATGCCACATATTTTCGTCCTTTGCCGGGGGCGGAAGTGGGTGAAGCGAAAATTTTGAAATAAACTCGATTAGGTGCGATATCGCAGGAGTGTGGATACCAAATTTGGTTGCTCTACTTCTTATAGTCTATGAGATCTAGGCGCTCACTTTTTGCGATAGGCAGAAATACACTTACATATGTATGTATGTATGTATAACAGTCTGTCAGAAGAGCCTGGATAACAAATTTAGTTGTTTTAGTTTTTGTAGTTCTTGAGACCTTGGCGATCGGCTTTTGATGCTGATTTTATGCACATATGTGTACATACATACACATGTACATATATGTATCAATCGTAATATTATTCTCAGCTGTACATTACGAAATTTTTCACAGTATTCTCTTTCGTTGCCCTCTTTACAATTTACAGTTTGTTATTGTCCACTGCCTGTCTTATTGCTATGCATGTTTATTCTCGTCCACTGTCTGTCCCATTATTTAGTAGGTGTAAGTGAGAGAGTGCGTATGGAAAGAGACGACTCGCTCAGAGAGGATCAAAAGGGAAGAGATAAAGAGGCGCGCTCTCTTGACCGAGTTCCTCTGCGGCAATGTGTGTGGGTTATAAAGAGAAAGAGCGACCATTGTAATTTTTTATTTAATTGGCTAGTGCAATTCATTAATATTCATATTTATATTTATCGCAGGCTCATCGCCTGAAATGGGATTTCATATGTACTTTAGTATTAGAATCATGATATTTGATACTTCGCACTGCCTTGCACGTATTTATGCACCTACAAGTTTCCACTGGCGGTCGAAATATTTCAACGATTTAATACGTTCTATGAAGCTATTTTGGCATGCGTTACAGAAATCGAATCAACGTTTTCATACCCAATATATATAGTTTCATCATCGGAGACCCGCATTTCAGTATAGTATCAAAGTCGACTACTTCTGTGGGCTGACAGTGTAGCCTACAATCAAAAGCTTGATGGAGAGTAAAAGCTCTTTTACCCATAAAACGTAGTGAATACGGCAAGCTGGGACCAGTTTCAAACCGAAAGTATAATGTCGCTGGTGCTAGCGTTGATTGCCATTGTGGTGTCGCTGGTTCTCTTCGCGGCAAGACGACGTCATGGATATTGGCAGCGTCGAGGTATCCCGCACGATGTGCCCCACCCACTTTTCGGGAACATGGGGGACTGGCCCAAGAAGCGGCATATAGCAATTATATTCAGGGATTACTATCGGAAGTACAAGAGTGCGAACTACCCGTTTGCTGGATTCTACTTCTTTTTTACAAGAACCGCTGTGGTTACCGACCTGGATCTGGTAAAGCGAGTGCTCATCAAAGACTTCAATCATTTCGAAAACCGAGGCATATTCTACAATGAGATTGATGACCCCCTCTCGGCAACAGTGTTCAGCATTGAAGGTCAGAAGTGGCGTCATCTGAGGCATAAGCTGACACCCACATTTACGTCTGGCAAAATGAAGCACATGTTCCCTATTGTGGTCAAAGTGGGTGAGGAGATGGACAAAGTCTTCAGCAACAAGGTTGGCGATGGAAAGGTTCTTGAAATCGTTGATCTGGTGGCCCGCTACACGGCTGACGTCATAGGCAATTGCGCCTTTGGTCTAAATTGCAATAGTCAACAGAATCCCAATGCGGATTTTGTCACATTTGGCAAACGAGCCATCGGCGAACGTCGTTACTGGGGTCTATTAGATTTCTTTATATTCGGCTTTCCGAAGCTTTCACGTGCCCTGCGCCTCAAATTGAATGTACAGGAAGTTGAGGACTTCTACACAAAGATTGTGAGAGACACCATCGACTATCGCTTGAAGACTAAGGAAAAGCGTAACGACTTCATGGACAGTCTGATTGAAATGTACCAGAAGGAGCAGGAAGGCAACTCTGATGAAGGTCTGACCTTCAACGAGATCCTGGCACAGGCATTCATATTCTTTGTGGCCGGTTTCGAGACAAGCTCCACCACCATGGGCTTTGCGCTCTATGAGCTGGCGCAGAACCAGGACACTCAAGATAAGCTGAGAAATGAAATCAACGATGTTCTGGCAAAGCACAACAATCAGTTCACCTACGAGGGTATCAAAGAAATGAAATATCTGGAGCAGGTGGTAATGGGTGAGTATTCGTGAGGATTACATTTTGTTTCTTTTTCTCTAATATTTTACAATTCCCTTTCAGAAACTCTTCGGAAGTACCCGGTTCTTGCTCATCTAACGCGAAAGACACAGGCCGATTTTTCACCCGAAGATCCCAAGACCTTTATTGCCAAAGGAACAGTTGTTGTCATCCCTGCTCTGGGTATTCACTACGATCCTGATATTTATCCCGAACCCGAGAAATTCAAGCCTGAGCGTTTCACGGAGGAGGCTATCGCCTCCAGACCCGCCTGCGCCTGGCTGCCCTTTGGCGAGGGTCCACGGAACTGCATCGGACTGCGCTTCGGCATAATGCAAACCTGTGTGGGCCTGGCATACCTGATCAAGGGGTACAGGTTCAGTGTCGCTCCAGAGACGCAAATACCCATGAAGTTAATCCTCAAGAGCATTTTACTGTCTGCTGAAAATGGAATCTATCTTAAGGTCAAAAAGGTTTCCAAATGAAAAATTTAACGAACAAAATGAAGGTTCTTGTTGTTAATAGTTGTATGAGTTTTTCTTATAAAATTACTATAACTAAACATTGCCTTTTGCGACACTCTTACAACTTCCAATACGTACAATACATGTACGATTAGATTGCAGACTTAGGTCTTATCGGCAGTATTGTAGGGAAACCTATAAAGCCGAAACCCATAATGTAGTGTATAGCGGGGACGGGAGTGCTATCTCAGATGCATCGCCAGGTTCTGTTCAATTATATAATAGCAAAACCAACAGAACCAGAATCGAAAGAAGATCTTTAACTGCCATTAGTGGAACACACGAAAACCTGTTTGCGGCTATTTGTTTGCGCAGTGTACATATTGCTCACCAATCGCTGCCTGAAACATTTGGCGAGCGCTCATTTGATTACTCTCAATAATGTGTCTTAAACTAAAAGACTACTCTTAAATCTCTATAAATATATACATTAATTCCACATACTTATTCGGTACCAGCATCTTTTTCATCCATCTCCAACTATTTTTTTTGTTAGTTTAAATTTGCTTTGTTTTCTGGTACGTTGTCTCTAGTGGCATTCTTTGGATCGGCTAGGACTAAAGTCCTCACCTGCTTGGTGCGAAAACATGAACAGTTGTATATTAATTCAGGATATTTCAAATTTAAAAACATTTTCGAACATATCGATTACTTGCAGTTTACTCATTTACTCAATAGCTATTCAATTGACTCAATCGGCAAAAGCTAATAGAGCAAAGTGTAAAGTGAAAGCTTTTATCTGTCCAGCTCGGTTGCTTCGCCTTGTAACGGTGACTGGCGATTCGTTATTGTTAGTTGGCGTCTCTTTATCGGATGAAATAAAGAGCGTCGATGCAGATTAAAGAGAGAATCTAATATAAAAAGCAAAGCGCTATTACAGTACTGTTCAGTATTTTCGTAATGGCCATTATAATCGTATTGCTGGTCGGTGTTATTTCGCTCGCCGTATGGTGGGTTCATCAAAACTTTTCTTACTGGAAACGTCGCGGCATTCCGCATGACCCGCCCAATATTCCGAAGGGGAATACTAGCGAGCTTATGAAGACAAGACAAATTGCGGATCTCTTCCGGGAAACCTACAGCAAATACAAGGGCAAGACCGATGGTCCATTTGTAGGATTTTACCTCTATCTGAAGAAAATTGCGATTGTCACTGATATTGATTTTGTGAAAACCGTATTGATCCGCGAGTTTGACAAGTTTCACGATCGCGGACTTTTCCATAATGAAAAAGACGACCCCCTGACCAATCATCTAGTGGCCATCGAAGGCCAAAAGTGGCGACAGCTCCGCCAAAAGATGACCCCCACATTCACTTCGGGAAAAATGAAGATTATGTTCCCCACAGTACTGGAAATTGGCAATGAGATGATCCGGGTATTCACGGAGAAAATCACCGGAGGGCCTCAGCCCCTGAATGTCGCCGATCTGGTGTCCCGCTTCAGCGCAGATGTGATAGGAAGCTGTGCCTTCGGCCTGGAGTGCAACAGTTTGCGGAACCCCAATGCAGAATTTGTCACCATGGGCAAGGCTGCCATCACTGAGCGGCGCTATGGAAAAACAGCGGACTTGTTCTTTTTCGGTGCACCTAAGCTGGCAGCCAAGTTGCGAATGAAGGAAACCGTTCAGAAAGTCGAGGATTTCTATATGAAAATCGTTAGAGAAACCGTCGACTATCGGCTAAAGAATAATGTCAAACGAAACGATTTCATGGACATGCTGATCGATATGAAGATCAATTACGATAAGGGCAACAAGCAGGATGGCATCAGTTTTAACGAGTTGGCTGCCCAGGCCTTTATTTTCTTCTTGGCTGGCTTCGATACCTCTTCGACTTCGTTGGGTTTCGCTCTCCATGAACTGGCCGTTAACCAGGACATCCAGGATAAGCTGAGGACGGAGATTGACACGGTGATGGCGAAATACAACGGCCAATTGAACTATGACAGCATGCGGGAGCTGACTTATCTGGACAAGGTCATCGATGGTGAGTCAGTCTATCAGTTAGACTCATATTGATCAGCTCTGCGATTTGCATAACATTCTTCATAATTTCCATCCTTAGAAACCTTCCGAAAGAATCCCGTTGTGGGTCATTTGATTCGCATATGCACTCAGCGGTACGAGCATCCCAATGGAAAGTATTTCATTGAGCCAGGCACTGGCGTTGTTATCCCCACCTTGGGTATTCATCACGATCCCGAGTTCTATCCGGAGCCGGAGAAGTTCAAACCCGAGCGTTTCGACGAGGATCAAGTGCTGCAGCGACCTCCCTGCACTTTCCTGCCCTTCGGTGACGGTCCGCGAACCTGCATCGGCCTACGCTTTGGCCGCATGCAGATCGTGGTCGGACTGGCCCTGCTTATTCACAATTTCAAGTTTGAGGTCCACCCCACAAAGACGACTGTGCCGCTCAAGTTCAAGGTCACCGATGTTCTCTTATGTTCCGAAGGAGGAGTCCATCTCAATGTTAGCAAGGTTCCGCGATAATCAAATTAAATAAAATCTAATATAATTACTTGAGATTTAAACAATAAAGCGCGGTGGCAGATGGGAAAAAAGCTTTCAGAATAGACTAAGTGGAAAGGGGGAAAGACTCAAGGAAACTCTCTAAAAATAAACTATGTATTCTCTAACTGTGGAAACCTCGAAACACAAGCGAAACCCCATAAGAGGCAGTGGTTGCTATTTCACAACGAACGAATAAAGTTAGATCAGTATTCCCACACATTGTTCGCTTGGTAGACAGGCAGCAGATCGTACTTTCAATTATCAACAAACCAAGACTATTCAGAAAGCAGAGTGTTATTCGTAACAGGTTAAAATGTTTACACATATATAGTATAGTAAAAATATGAATATATGAATGAGTATTATATAATTAAAGAGTATCTGCTGTTTGAGCTTTATAGGTTTCTCTTTACAGTAGTGCGGATCAGAATACCCAATTTGAGTATCAAGTATACAAATTACGACGTAAATAGAAAAATAGTAAGTACATATTTTTTCCAGAGCTTTATTGCTTGAGCTTTATTACTAGAGAAGGATAGTGAGGACACAATCCTAGATTATTATTATCATTATCATTTATATACATAGTTATTGTTAAAAGTATAATCTTTTCTAGGGCTAAAAGATAAGAAATAATAAGTCAAGCGAGCATGACTCATATAAATGCAAAGAATAGTTTGATGTGTGACTAATGTACATACATGCATATGCCTGTAATTTAACATTTATATCTATCTAATTCACGGACACCAATTAAACCCAGACCCCCATAGTACGCTCGATCAAGCATGATGTAATATCAAGCAATTTTATACAGATTAATAACATATTTGGGTAGATACAAGGTGAGGTAGAAGCTACTGTATCTACAGAGGTATTTTTGAAATACGAGGACACGAGTATATGTTGCTGTGTGTGTAATTGTTAAACACGTTCCACTCCCAGTGAAATGCCAGTTTTACTGGCTATCAAGAAGCTTTCCAAGTCGTACTTCATAGGAAAAGCCGTCTCGTCGCACACGGTGAATTTGAAATCCTTCAGGAGCATGGCCATTCCAATGCGGGCTTGCATCTGGCCAAAACGCATTCCGATACAGTTGCGGGGACCGTCGCCGAAGGGCAGCCACTCCACTGAGTCGCGATTCTTAACGCGTTCGGGCGAGAAGTTGTCCGGGTTGAAAGCATCAGGATTGGGGTAGAACCTCTCATCGCGATGCATGGCTCCGGCTGGTATCAGAATGGGCATTCCCTTCTTGATCACGTACTTTGGATTATCTGGAACCACAAAGTCCTCCAAGCATTCGCGATTCAAGACGGGCAGGACTGTATACAAGCGAAGAGTTTCTAAAGGAGAGAGGAGAAATTTTAAGTCATGGTGATATTGAAAATTGAACTCTATTTACTCACCAGATATCACCTGATCGAGGTACACTAGTTCCTTCATGCTCTCGTAGGTCAATTCACCGCCATACTTCTGTATCACCTCCTGGCACTCCTCTCTCACCCGCTGCTGAATGTCTGGGTGCTGAGCCAGCTCATAAAGAGCAAAGCCCATCGTGGTCGACGAGGTCTCAAATCCAGCGGCAAAGAACACAAAAGCCTGGGCGGCAATCTCCTCAATCGTGAGGTTGATGTTGTCGCCCGACTCGGTTTTAATTATTTGATTGTTTTTCAGATCGATCAACTGATCCATGAAGTCGTTGCGACGTATCTGGTTCTGTTCCCTGAACTTCACCGTCTCCTTGACGATTCGCATGAAAAACTGCTCAATGGGCTCGGCTGTCATCTTCAAGTGCAGCTTGCGGGATAGTTTTGGAAAGCTATTGAGGAAAGCGATGCCAAGAGATCCGTGACGGTTCTCTGTCAAGGCTCGACGACCCATCTTACGGAACTCGGCTTCGGGATCCTTGAGACTGCTGCAATTAATGCCAAAGGCACATGTGCCTATCACGTCTGTGGTGAATCTGGCCAGCAGTTCTCTGACCTCAACGATGGGCGACTTGTCCGCCATCTGACCAAACACTTCGGTGAACTCATGACTCACTTTGACCACGGTGGGGAACATGTACTTCATTTTACCCGAGGTGAAGGTGGACGACAGCTTGTGCCTCATCGACTTCCACTTGTGGCCATCCAGCAGAAACAGCTGCCCAGACAAGGGATCATCCTCCGGGTTGTGGAAGAATCCGCGATCTGTGAACTTGTTGAATTCCTTGATCAATATGAGCTTGGCCAGTGAGGGCTCCAGTACGAAAACAGCAGGCCGCTGGAACCAATAGAATCCGGCAAAGGGTCCGCTCAGCCGGTACTTCTTGTAGTAATCAGTCCAGACATCGTTGAACGTTCGCGTGGTGCGCAATCCCCACATGCTCCCCAGCAGCCAATGCGGTTCCTCACAGGGAATGCCTAGATTTTGCCAGTATTGCCTGCCCAGTAGCCATTTCAGTAGCAGATATACAACCAGCGCCACAAGCGTCCACAGAAGTAGTGCGCCAACGCCCACAGCCATAGCGATAATATATACTGCGAATATAACTACTACGTATGGATTTCTGTTTATCTCCCCGTCCGCGGCAATCAAGTATGCGAACCTGTTCAACTTCGGGAACTGACTGAGGGCCGAGCTGCTCTCTGGCTGCTTATAAAAACCCCACACAAAATATTGTAGTCATTGTGACCGAAGAATTGCCGAGAATTGACGCTCTTTTGTTTGTCTGATTATGTTATGAATAGTGACAGGGTGCTACATTCAAGAACTCACTACGAAAACACAGACTTAAACAATCCATCCTACTCCAAGGGAGCTCGGTCAGAGCTAGGTGAACTGATTAACAGAAAAACATATATTTTGATATACTTTGGCATTTTTTAAGTGACTGATGTTATCCTCTTTAGATCTTTGAAATACATAATAGCAGATATTACTTGGTCATACTGCTTCCACTTTGAGGTGAATACCGTCTACAGCAAGCACAAAACTTTTGGGACTGTAAGACAAAGTATCCGGAGTTTTTGGGCATGTCGAAAACTTGAAATTCTTTATGAGCAAAGCTAGGCCAATGGTAGTCTGCATCTTTCCAAATCGAAGTCCAATGCAGTTGCGAGGACCATCACCAAAGGGTAGCCAGGCCAACGAGTTTCGCTTAGCCGATTCCTCGGGTGAGAAACGCTCGGGACGGAACTTATACGGGTCCGGATAGATGTTGGGGTCAACGTGTATGGCCGATGCTGGAATGATCACCGATTGGCCAGCTTCGATGACGAAGTTTGGATGGCCGGGCACAACGTATCGCTTATGAGCCATGCGATCCAAATGGGGTACAATAGTGTGGAGCCGTAGGGTTTCTGGAAACCAATTGAAGAGTTACTGATTTTTCCGTTCTGTTCAAATTCGTTTAGTTTACTTACCAAAGATAACCTGCTCGAGGTACTTGAGATCCTTGGTGGACTCGTAGGTGAATTTCTGTTCATGCTGCTCCAGGACTTCCTCCACCTCAGCCCTAACTTTGTCTTGTATGTGCGGCTGCTTGGCCAGTTCATACAGAGCATATCCCATGGTGGAGGAGGAAGTCTCGAAGCCAGCAATAAGAAATACAAAAGCCTGGGCAAGTATCTCGTCTATAGTCAAACCGTCGACGAGATCGCCATTCTCCAGTTTCACCTTTTGGTTCTTCATGTCAATGAGCAAGTCCATGAAATCATTCCGCTTAATGTTTTCCTTCTCCCGCATAGCCACAGTCTCATGGACAATACGCTCGTAAAAGTTCCGAATGTGCGTGGGCGTTCGCACCAGTCGCAGACGCCTCGCCAGCTTCGGATAACTAGTCATGAAGCCCGTCAGGAAGGATCCATGACGTTTGTCCACAAACGTGCGTTTACCGAACCTTAGGAACTCGGCGTTTTCATCGCGCAAAGAGTTGCATTTGATGCCGAAGGCACATGTGCCTATCACGTCCACTGTGAACCGGGCCATCAGCTCGCGAATTTCCAGAACAGAATTCTGCTTCATCTTCTCATGCATGACGGCTATGAACTCTTCGGCCACAGACACCACCGTGGGATACATGAACTTCATTTTGCCAGCGGTGAATGTCGAAGTTAGTTTGTTTCTCAGTACTTTCCATTGAGGTCCGTCCAGGTTGAAGAGATGAGCGGAGATGGGGTCATCCTTCTCGTTGTAGAACAGACCCTTGTCGCTGAAGTTTGAGAAGTCCTTGATCAGTATGTGCTTGGCCAGGTCCAGATCCAAAATGAATGCCGACGGCTTTTGGAAGAAGTAAAACCCAACGAAGGGAACCTTGCTCTCCCGATATTTTTCGTAGTATTTTTTTTAAATCTCGTGCACGTTCCGTTTAGTAAATACGCCCTGCATATTTCCCAGAATCAAATGTGGCGTGTCGTGCGGAATCCCGCGACTCTTGAAGTACGACAATCGACGGTAGACATAGTAGGTCACGATCGCGAGCAAAGCCACTGCCACCTGGAGTAGTATGTAAGTGACTCCCATCTCGAGACTGTTGAGGTTCTGGACGAACTGATTCTGAGAAAGCAAACGCTCGGCTTTTAAACGCAAAATATATAAAGCGCTCAGCATGACGAGGCAGTATCTGACAAAGACTGGGACTACCGCGATTCTTAATCTCAATAAAATGTTTACCTTTCATGCTGTGGCAGATCTTTGTTGTTGCCAGCCACTATGAAGCAGCTAGTTTGTAGTACCCGTATTGTATTGTCTATATACATTTAACAATATATAATGCACCATGACGAGCCCCCTCTTATCAGACTCCACGCTGTTCCAGTTCAGTTCGTTCCGTCAATGGAACGTAATATTCAGTTCTTGACTTAACGCAGATTAAAGCGTTTTCGTTCGCTTTAAAGACAGTCTAGTCTGTTCATCAAAAAATAATAAATAAAGATAGGAGATGAGGATAGACAAGACAAGAGGACAACGGAACAGATGCTAAGATTATACCTTATCGTTATCATATACATAGGTCCAAAAGGCAAAGGTTGCTTTTTAGTGCCAGACAATTAGGGCTAATTGCTCCAGACGACCAATGACACATGCATACAAACATATATTTAAAACACCAGTTTGACTCGTGATTTATCTCTGTCATGACTATGAACGGTGTTACACAACCTATCCCAACAGAGCTCTGTGAGAACCAAGCTATAAGAGGAAAACAATAACATTTCTTTGAGTCAGTCCTCGTTTATTAATAAACTTAAAGATAGTATTTCTTAATCAACGATGCTGGAATGATCCTTGGTGGACTTGTAGGCAAATTTCGGTTCATGCTGCTCCAGGACATCCAGGACCTCAGCAGAAAACAGTCGGCTAAACAAAAACCCTTCACCATGACGATGTCTGCACAAGCTCTGAGAATGTTTTAAAGGATAAACCTGCCTGTGTGACGTGATTCATATTCTTAATGTATTGTTTACCTTTTGTTCTTTATTGCAAGTAAATATGAGGCTTCAGTTTATGGGTACAGTGGGCCAATCATGTACAATAGAGGGGAAAAAGTACATACATAAATTTAAAATCATAACTAATTAAATCTTGCCATTAAGAAGTATTTAATAACCCTGTGAGAATATCTTTTCATTAAGATTATTATTATTACAAATACTATTCCAATAGCCTTTAGCTGATCTGTACTGTACTATGACGAGCCCTCTCTTTATCAGCTGTTGCAGGCAAGCTCTCATCGAATACAGCACAGCGTCATGCCAGTTCTTGCAACTTCATTCTTAACAGTTCTTGTGTATCCGGCAACGCGGCATGATTTTCTTTTATTGACGCAACTCGGAAAACGGGCAAAAGCCCTAGTTGCGATATAGTTTGCCTTTTGTCTCATTTTTGTTTGACAATTGATTAGATTTCAAGTGCGGATATGGGTCGCAACAACAAATAATTAAACCTGTCAGCTTTTTGTGCTTGTTTTTTTTGTTTGCTTTTCGGCTTTGCGGATGAGCTTTTTCTTTGTTACTATTTGTGTATTTTGTTGTTATGCCATTTAATCGCTAATTGAGCGTAACATTCGGCCGGTAGGAGAAAGGTCCAGCAGCGAACATTATTAGTTCTCACATACAAATTACACAAATAGTTGGAAAAGCGTAAGACCACACACATTTCTTGCACAGTGTAGACAGGTAAAAATAACCGTACTTGAAGAAAAATGTTTAATAAAATACAGTCGCAAGCTGATAAGATAACAGATTGGGGGATCTAGCAAGGTGAACACTAAATCGCCCTACAATGAAGGTTGGCATTCAATTTAGTAAATAAGAAGATTAAATAGAAACTTGAGGGTCTAACCCGAACCAAAAATTTTCTTTTTAGTGATGTTCTTTGCCAATAACTGTGCATAACCCCTCAAATTTTTATCTGCAATGAGATGTGCCAGATCAAGATCTCTTACAATGCATAAACGAGAGTATCTGATGGCGACACCAACATTGAAAATGAAGAAATAATACGAGTATCCATCTGTCTGTCTGGCCTCACTCAGACGCCCACGAACCGTCTGCGGCAGTCCATAAGCTTCAGTGTAGCGCACTCCAAAAAACAACAAATTAAAAGCTCCCACCGGGTCTCGAGAGCGAGTATCGTAAATAGTTACTTTTCTCCAACGCACTCAGTCGAACAACGCGATCCGGTAATGAACGTAACGAACGTAAGAACGCATTAGATCATAGTCGGTGACACTGCGACTGCCGCGGGCAGAACGAGACGGAGACATAGTGGAGAGTGTTAGCGCGCGAGTGGGACAGAAAGAGAGTGGAAAGGAAGTGGACTGACTCCCAGAACCCAAGGGATTTCTATATGTAAATACATGTGATTTTATAGACTATAAAGTGCACAAACAGAGGAAAGCACTCATTATGCAGAATATGTGGATAATTTTCACGATTATTGGGCTGGTGGTGCTGGGTCTAGTGATTCTGCTAATTATGGCAGCGCGTTATCAGCGGGACTATTGGCACTATCTGAACATTCCGCACGAGAGACCGAAAAAGCTATGGCCCATCGTTAGGCAAATAGTGACACAGAGTCTCAGTACCGAGGCGATGAAGACGGCTCATTACTCGGCACTCTACTCTAAATTCAAGGGCAGCGGACCGTTCTGCGGCTTCTACGCTCTGCTGCAGCCGCGGGCTCTGATCCTAGATCGCGAACTGATCAGGCAAATAATGATCAAGGACTTCTGGAACTTCAATGATCGCGGGCTGTACTGTAATCAGAAAACGGACCCGCTTTCGGGGGACCTGTTCGCTATGCGCGGTCAGAGTTGGAAGGAGATGCGCCAGAAGCTGGACCCCAGTCTGGAGAGCGATCGCATGTCCTGGCTGTTTGGCAGTCTCTACGAGGAGGCGGAACAGCTTCTGCTTACCGTCACCTCTACGCTGATGAAGCAGCCGCATTCCACGCTCCACATACAGAAACTGATGCGGCGATATGTGCTGTCGGCTCTGGCCAAGTGCGTCTTTGGCCTGGATGCCCAGCAGCGGCTGAAGTACTCCCTGGAGGACTTTGAGAAAATGACTGAGATGGCCGTGAGCAGTCACAAGCACGGCTATTTGATGAATCTGATGATGATCAGGTTTCCTAACTTTTGCCGCGTTCTCCAAATGCGCCGGACCCCCAAGCAGGCGGAGACCTACTTCCTCACTTTACTCTCGGACATCGTGGGGCAACGCGAGGCGTCCGGTGTGCGGCACCAGGATTATCTGCAGCTGCTGGTGGAGATCAAGGCACTGGAGCTAATCACCCATCAATACCAGGCGGACAAGGAGCTGAACACCCATCTGCAGAACGAGCTTGCGGCCCATGCCGTCGTCTTTCTGAAGGCGGGCTACGAGCAAACGGCAAACACCTTGTCCTATATCCTGTACGAGCTAGCAATCCACACAGACGTGCAGGCCACGGTGCGGGAGGAGATCAAGAAGGCCATGGAGCGCCACGACAACAACCTGAACTATGAGTGCGTCCAATCTTTGGCATATCTGGGTCAGGTCATCAACGAGACCCTCAGGGTACATCCCATCACGCCCTATATACTCCGCCGCACCCTCACCGACTACCAGGTGCCCGATCATCCCAATTATATGCTGGTCAAGGAGCTATTCCTGATCATCCCCACACATGCCATACACCACGATCCCGATATCTATCCAGAGCCCGAGGAATTCAAGCCGGATCGCTGGGGGGGCCCAAGAGACTCGCTGCAAGAGCAGGGCACCTGGTTCGGCTTTGGGGTGGGCGCCCGCAGCTGCATAGGCATACAGTTTGCCCAGCTGCAACTGCGCCTGGCTCTGGCCTTGCTCCTTATGGAGTACGAATTTACTCTAAACTCGAGGAAGCCGCTGGTCAGCCTGGATGATGGCATTGCGCTACAGCTGACGCCCTTGGGGGTCATCGAGCCCGGCACCGAGGAGAGGGCTGTCTGAGGGATTTAGTCATCTACTTAGAAAGTACGGATACAGAATTTAAACCATGAACAAAGTATAGAAAGCAATTTAAAACTATTTACTAACGAAACTATCAAATATGTAGGTATAATATGGAGAACAGGAGGTCCTGAGAGACAGAACCTCACACAAATGGCATTCTTACTTAATATACTCGTACATTGTTTTAGTTATTCATTTATTTATTTTCGAAAGAGCAAATACTTTGCCATTAAATAACTTTGCCGTCTTACAATAGAAGTATACTTGATCTATTAAAATATTTGTCCATTTGATTCGTAGTTACTCGCAAGTAGTATTGTTAGTTAAATATCGTTTGTTGCATTGTCGTTTGCTGATATGGTTGGTTGGTGGCTCGGGCCTGTGCAGAATTGAGCTTATTAGCGTACATTAAAGACATTGTTTAAAAATAGCTGGCTGCTTTCGTTGGTTAATCGAAATTAGAGTTATAGTCTAGAATCGTTTTACTTGTTAGCACTAAAGTAAAATTTAATAATAAATAAAACATATTTCAAAGTACACGAAAATAAAGCCTAATTATAATTCTAAGTTAAGTTTCATTTCTTTTTCTTCAAGTTTCGTTATGGAATGTGTTTTACTTTGCCACTTCTACGGTTTGTCCGGGCCGCTCTACGAAAAATGCTAATTATAACCTTATTAACTAACGGTTTGTTCGACAATTTGGCCGCTAATACGAAATGGCTTTACTCCGGGGACTGGCGGCTGTGGAGCGCCATTGAGAGGAGCGAGCTCCTGGCGGTCTCGCCGCGATTGGGCAGCTTGCTGCGCAGCATCTGCTCGTGGACGTAGAGGAGCAGGCCCACATCCCGGTGCCCGGCCTGCCAGGCAATCTTAAAGGCCGTGCTGCCATCCTGTGGAAAAGTGTATATTTAGAACAAATTGTTTGGAATCACTAGGGATCGTATACGTACCACATCTTGTATCAGCGAGTCGCATTCTGGACTGGACAGCAAGTGCTTGACCACGTCCACACGACCGTGCTCGGCGGCGCACATTAGAGCCGTGCTGCCATCCTCGTCCTGGATATTGATATCTGCTCCGGCTTCCAACAGCATGGCGACCATGTCGCCATTACCATGCGACACAGCGAGCATCAGCGCGGTCTGGCAGTGCTGTAGGGGAACCAGAGGGCGGAGGGGTTCGGTTAGTAGGGGAACAACGATCAGATGTCAGGATCTGTGGTCTCTGGGGTTGTGCGGCCCCTTACCTACCTTCTTGGCGCGTATGTTGACATCGGCCATCTTGAACAGTCGCTCCACGACTGTCCGATGGGACGGTTGCTTTAGCTTGGCCAACGATACGAGCATCACACACGTGTATCCGGCGTTATTCGTTTGGTTTACGTTGCAAACCTTCGAATCCAGCAGAATGGATACCACGTCGAAGTTGCCGTGCGAGACCGCATAATGCATGGCTGTGTTGCCCTAAAACATAGACAGGATTCTTGTATCCGACTGTTTAGTTCAGGAAATGGCACAGAACTTACATTGTTGTCGGACAGGTTAACGCAATACTCCAGCAAGGGCACCGACAGTGACTCAAAGAAGTCCAAGTGGTCCTCCACCTCATGGGGATCGGCCTTTCCAGTGCTGGAGTTGCGGAACCAATGCTCCTGAATGGTCGTCTTGGCTGACTTGAGGCTCTGCGAGGAGATGGGCTTGGCCCCCAGCCTCTTCAGCAGCGAATCATTGATGACTTTGAGGGCATCCACCAGGCTCTTGGGTATATCGGTTCTGCAAACGGTTTATTGCGATTATCCCAATCGAAAGGGGGGCTTAGTTAGTAGATAACTTACTTCTTTCGGGGCTCGGACTCTGCCTGGGCCAGCTGATGGAGCTGCGCCTTCGTGGCCGGTCGCTCGATGACAGTCACCTGGGACTCCTCGCTTTGACTAGATTTTAGCGGCGTGCTGGACTTCTTGCGTGCTCCCTGAGCAATCTGCACATCCAAGGGCGGGCTGGAATCACAGGAAGTGCTCATGGCTTGCTCCTGCTCCTGCTCCTGGCCCTGCTCCGGCGAGACGGACTTGTTTGTGTCCGATGTGGTGGCCGAGGATGTCATCAGTGGTGCGGGGGAGACATCGCGGGACCAGCTGATGCTGACGCGCTTCTCCTCGCGCACAATCAGCTCATCGTCACCCACCTGGCTGAAGTCCAATAAAGGGCTCTGCTTGCTGGACGGCTGTCTGATAAAACTTTGTGACTCCCCGGACGAATCTGGTGAATGGAAGCTCGACATAGTCGGTGGCTTCTCCTGCAAGGAGCTAGAATAAAATAATTGCGTTATTGAGAAGGCGAGAGTCAAAGCCAGAAAGACCCACGTTAGCACCAGGGCCGAGCACCCGCTGACCAGCAGCGGGTAGCACGTGAAGCTGCTCAGGCTGGAGAACATTGGCAAAACCATTCGGAAAACTCAAAATCCAAACAAAAACCAAAATAAGCGACAAAAGAAGCGAGGCCACGAATGTGCCAAAGCGAAAACTAAAGCCTGACTGAAGGTCATCCTACTGAGATTTTCCCATTTCGGGGAAGCCCACAATGCGCAGGTCCATTTTTTGTTTACATTTTCCTCCATCTCTCACAGAGCGTTGCGACATCATTGAGTTGTGTCTTGGCTAAAAGCTCGCAGCGAGACAAGCTTTTCTAAGAATGCTTTTACAGTGGGACTGAGAGCAGAGCCCCAGCAGGAAGAAGAACAACTCACCTCAGTCGCGTTTTCCGCTCCACCTGTGGACTGGGCGTCTGTGAGGGCGTGGCCAGAGTGTAGGTATTCTGCCGCTTGAGCTCCCGCCGCACCGGACTGGGACTAGTAATGTGTTTGGGTCGCGGTATACGCGAGTCCGCCGAAGTGGAGCGACGTACTGTTCCCGGCTTGGACGGTGCGGGAGTGGTGGCTGGGCTGACCTTCGAGAAGCCCTTGGCCAGGTCCTGGATTGCCTCCTTGCAGGAATCACAGTAGTTGGCCGCACAGGCAATCGAGATGTGGGGCTTCACAATTTCGCCGCAGCCCACATCCCGTTTGCGAATTTCATCCGTGTTGCAGGCGGAGTGGGTGGTGGCGGGTACCTTGATCTGCTCCCGCTCCTGCTCCGTATTGCAGGCTGTGTGGCGTGTCCGTGGGCGTGGCACCGACTCGGCCACCTGTTCCGTCTTTGTGTCGCTCCTCGAGAGGCGCTGCAGGCCGTCGGTGTCCGTTTGGCGAGTGCTCTGCTCTGCCCCACACTGCACCACCGCGTGCTGCTGCTGTGGCGTCACCTGAGCTCCGGTTGAACGGACCGTAGTCATCGCCGTCTGACAACCAGCACTGTGCACCATGGTAACTGGCGTCTGACAGGCCACTGCCTTCCGGATGAGAGTAAGCGATTCGTTCTCTCCGAGGCTGAAGGTGTTGCTGCGTCCCGGCATCTGTGGCGGTGGCTTTGGTTTCTCCGGGGGTACTTCCGGACCGCAGCCAACTGATCGCTTGCTGATGGCACACTTCTCGCAGAGCTCTTCGTCGATGCGGTGCTCGGAGCTGCCCACAGTGCGCACATCCGGCTTGCAGCTGGTGAAGTTCTCCCTCGTCGCGGGCTTGGCACTGACTCCCACATTGTACTTGAGCTTCGGTCGCTCCGCCACCGTCTGCATCCCCGAGTCACGCTGCTCCCGCTTCGGCACGTACATCTGTGTGCCCACTGTGATGAGCTTCTTTAGCTGCTTCTGCTGGTGGCTGCTCAGGGCCACATCGATCTTCTCCTCCAGTTCCGCTTGAGAGTAAATGGCCGCCGCCTCTTGGGTGGCCACGTGACGGGTGCTCAACGTGGAGCCAACGGCGACGTCTCGGGTGGCTGTCACCCTTGTGGCCGCCTGGGTGGACACATCGCGTCGAATGATGCTGGGCGAAGGCGAGGCCGAGGTCGAACTGCTGCGCATGCGCGCCCCCAGGCTCTCCAGCGAGACGGGACTGATGCGTTGTGGCGTGAACTGCACGGGTGAGGCGTTCTTCAGACCCGGACTCGGTGGCGAGGGAGTCTGCCGCTGTCCACGCACCAGCTCCTCGTTCTTCCGGAGCAGACGCTGCTTCTCCGAGCGCAGTGAATTGAGTTCCGACTAAAAAAGGGGATCGGGGATATGAGCTCAGGAGTATCGGAATGAAAAGCTAGCTACGCACCTCCATGTCGGGTATGACCTTGACCTGCTCCTCTAGATCCTTCAGACGCTTCAGGCTCAAGGCCATCTGCTCGCGAATCTGGAACAGAGCCTGGGCATCCGCCGTCGTCTGACCCGCTTCCGAATTCACCGGCGACTGCATGGAGCTGCTCATGGTTCCGGTTCCGGTTCCGGTTCCGATCCCATTCTCCTTCTCCCCCTCCTTGGAGGTGGACAGGAGGTGATGGCGACGTGGCGGGGGCGGCGGTGCACTTCCTGCAACCTTCGGCGATTCCATTTGTTCCACCGGCGACTTGGCATTGGCCGCCACCGTGGCCTGCACATAGCTCTCATACTGCACCTCTGCGGGGCTGGGCCGCTGCTGCAGAGGGAGTGTGTTGGAGCGCAGGAAGAGGTGTGGAGTGCTCGTCGGCGATCGGTTGCCCGCTATGCATGAGTCTGTGGAGTGCAAGAAATCGACGTTAAATAGTAGTTGATACTGGCTTAAAGCTCTGCTGATTACTTGGACTGCCATTTACCCTGGTCAACTCGATTTTGATTTGCAAACTTGCCATGAGCGCTGGCCGTTAGCGACTGGCCGAAAAAACGCCCACGGCTCGGCGAAATAGTAATGCAAAAAGCTCATGCTGATAAAATACATTTTGCTCCTCAAATCTAATTTTAATAATTGTGCCAAAGTTCGCATAATTTTCACAGACAACACAGCAAAGCAAAGACAATGAACAAAAGCCCCACATTTGTATGGGTCTGGTGTTGGGCGAGAGAGCAAACGAATGGGCAGTGATAAGGAAAGCGAGGCAGGCGTTATTCAATATTAGTTTTAATACCCGTTACTCTACTTCAGGTAGAAGGGTATACTGTTTTCAATCAGGCTCCATAACTGGATCTACCAATAGCTTAAAAGCTAGACTTACGTGCTCCCGAAAATGCTC